CCTTCCAGTGTTAAAGAAAAGGTGAAAACCTCTGTGGGATGTTTGCTTGAAACTATGAGAAGGGTAAAGTTGGACGAACTCTGCCTCCTGAAGCAAAGTAGCTACATGGCTAAATATTAAAATTAGTGTCTTAAGAATAATGTTGAAAATAAGCAGTGGTGGATTGTGAAGCAAAAGGTGCTTACAGATATCCCTGCACTCTGCTGATCTTTCTGCTGTCCTTGTCACACTTATCCTGTGCTAAGAGACTGCATTAAAGAGCAATGTGCACTGTCCACCCCAGATCTCTCGAAATACTCTGCTCAGTACTTGATAAAAGCCTGCAAATGCCACTCAGTTCATTGTCAGTTCTTTTAAATACGACAAAATCAGGAAGCTTTCAGAAAGCTATGATTATGTTAAACATTATACCCTGCAACCAAGCCTGGAATTTGGACCAAACCTGTCAATTGAGTATGATCATTTCCTACATAACAAGAAACTGCAGGTGTAAAGCTGGGGAGAGCACAAAACATTGATCAAGGAGAATCAGACGTTTCCTACCCTTACGTGTCATAATGGGAACAAAACTGTAATGAGAATCTCCATTTTGCATTGATTACACAAGGAGTTACTATTTTTTTTAAAGTGCCGAGGTCAGGACTCTCTTTGTCTGAACATCTGAAGCAAACAATATAGTAGTGGACACGATATCCTAGAAATGATGATTCCACTGTAAAGCTCATCTACAGAGCCTGTCGACATTTTCCATCTCATATTTACTAAAGGACTGGACTGACATCATGCTGGAAACCTTTTCAGTCACCCTCGCATAGTAGGGATGTTTGATCATATATAGGAGTGATGTTTAACTGAGTGATGCACTTAGTGTGAAAACCTAACACTTCCAGAAAGGCTGCCATGATGTGCAGCTGTAATGAGGCACCATGATTCTGTCAAACACGTTTTGTTCCTTTCTATGAATACTACATTCACATTTTAGATTGACTTGAGAGACATGGTCTTGGCAATGTGTCTGTTCTAACAACTTTATGACCCCTTCAATGAGGAGCAGGAAGAATTCACAAATACCTTCATTATATATGTACTTTAAAATAACCTGAAGTTGTCACCTACTCTTTGGAGAATAATGCCTCTATTTTTCCTTTCAGTATCTGACTCATCACAAGAAAATCTCAGACTTTTTCTACTCTCCTTTAAGTTAGTAGAACTATATCTTTGTTTTCCCTTATCTGGTACTTGTTGGAAGACCAAAGCTTTAAAATATTGCATAATATATCTGGTGGCAAAATATTTGACATTCCATGTTTGGCAGGATCACTGTAAGGTTAAATATACCAATATAGTAAATACAAGATGAGAGAAAAAGAGAAATCTCCCCCAGAAATGTAGGCTGTTTCCTTTCCTTTATTCTTAAGGAGCTTGATTAGTATCAGTATTTATTAGCATTTACTAGTATACCTACTAAGGTAAGCCCATCAGACCTTCTTCTGCCCTGTACAGAAGGTGTCCCAGGTCTCTCTCCCATACCTCTGCCACACATTTAGTGAACTAGATGTCATTAAATGAACTAGACAGTCATTGGTATGTTTGCCTGCATCAATTTTTATAGCCAGTAGTAATTATGTTGGCCACTTAACACTAAGCTTAAAAATCACTGTGAATTCCTCTAGAGAAATCCATACCTGTGTGTGAATCCAAAACTTTTAAAGTGTGATACTTTTTTTTCTCTGAATATTGATAAAGAGCATAGCACCAAGATTTTTTACACGCACTCTTCTTTTTGATCAGTGGATTCCTATGTAGCTCCTGGTAGCAAAAAGCAAACAGTTTTTAGAGTATTCTAAATGTAATAAAGGAAATGTGTCAGATAAAATTAATCACAGAAATGGAGACATTTTGAATTTTGAAAATTTTACGTATCTTCACATAAGGCTACTGAGAAATCTGAACATGAAGTATAACTGACAGTGACAGACTTTGGTGGGTTGGTCTGGTTAGTTTTATTCAGTGTGTGTTTGTGTGTGTGTGTTTGTGTGTACGCACACATGTGTGCTCACATGCATACATTTATTTGTAGATTTAGATGATATATTAGTTTTCATTAAATATCTGAGATCCTTCAGACATGTTTTTCTATCTCTTTTATGAACTTTAAGATGTGTTTTGTTAGATATTTAGGAAAACAGATCATGTAATTTGATGTGTATTACATGGCTTATCTTTGGGATGGCAGCTTTTCAGAGAAGGCCAGAATCTAATTAAAATGTGAATGTATCCCATATATCCAATCTATGCATGTATAACTTCCGCATGGCCCTGATGTGGGAATATACATTTGTGTCATAGCAGTCTGTAAGAAATTCACAAATCATTAGAAGCTTAAAAATTAAATTATTCTGCACAGTGAGAGGACTGACTACTAATCTTTCAAGTTGTAAAGACAGCAGACAGTTTACTTTGGCCAAATACCAATCCAGTCACAGTAGCATAGAAAGAATTACAAAGTCCTGTCCTGTACATCAGCTAGAATCTGACTGTGAGCTTGGCAACACTATGGTACGCCTCCATTCATAGAACTGCACTAGAATGTTCACTTGTGAGCCTTTGGCACAAAGCACTTTTACCTGTAGAAATGCAGAGATTTAAGTGACTACAGAAATGCAGAGATTTAAGTGACTGCAGAAAAAGCAATGAGGGGCTGTTAGAAAAGAAAGACAGTAAGATTCTCATGAAATGATCACCTTCACGAATGGTGCATATTTATAGCTATGTGTAGACATGCATGTTCCATACCAATCTGCCCCCTCTTCCTTCCTTCCTTCCTTCCTTCCTTCCTTCCTTCCTTCCTTCCTTCCTTCCTTCCTTCCTTCCTTCCTTCCCCCTCTTTCCCTCTCTCACTCCCTCTCTCACACTCTCCCTCCTTCTCACTGTCCTTACTTCCATCCATTCTCCCATCCATCCATTCTTCCATCCACCCATTCCTCCCACCCTTCCTGCTTATTTTTTCTTCTGTATTTGTGATATCTTTCATCTAATCTACCAACACTGGCACTCATGAAATAAAATGGTACTACGTCTTTCTCTGTCCCTGAGTTCCTGTCTGACTGCCAGCTCCTTGAGGAGATTGTAAGGTCAATGGTTGCTAGAAAATGACATATTTTGGTGGCTTGAACTCCACCCCCCCCCCATTTATTTTAATCAATCTATTGGCTTATCAAAGAACAAGTGATTAAACTAACAGCTTCTGAATATTTAAATAACAAAGCATCCAGAAACACATGAGGGCAACTCCTTTCTCTTATTTAGAAACGCAGGTCTAAAGTCTTTGTCCTGATCTTACTTTCTTAATCTCCAACTGACTGACTTTAGATCACTCATTCAGGGTGCTGCATACTGTGATAAAATGATGTACAACAATCTATATTCTTTTATTCAGAAATATTTTTGAAAATGACTGACCTATTTTTAGCAGACTGTTTCTTTTCCATGATATAAAAATGAGTCAAATTAATTGTATTTTAATTTACCAAAATGGAAAAATACAGAAAATACAGTGTTTAAAATGAAACTATTTTGATTTTTGTTTGTTTGAAATAGAAGAAATTCACCCTAGAATTCTTTTCTTTTTTCTTTATTTTTCACTTAGGACCATTTTTTCATTAATAATTTCTCATGTTTTTTATTGTCAAGTGTCAGATTAGAAAAGTATGACCCACATTACTATTAAATTGTGAATTTTGCTGGTTAATCATTTTCTGTTTTGAAAGAAACATTGTCCTGTAAATATGTTCTAAATCAGTTATTTATATAAGTGTTAGCTTTTATTTATAATAAAAGTGATTTTCCCCACAGGAGACAAAGTGAATATTTTCTCAAAGGTTGCAGCTTGACCATCTGACACACTGACTGTGTGCTGTTTGGTACAGAGCGAGGCCCATAGCAGAGTGATCAGCACTGCTCTGAGCATGCGCCTCTGCGACCTAAGCCTTTCCTGGGCTTCTCTGCTGTCCTGCTCCTGTTTCTTCGTATCTTTTGTTTCTATAGAGTGTTCTCTCTGGTGGTTTTTCTTATCATCTATTTTCTTCTCTTCCTTCTTTTTCCTCTGTATCTTTCTCTGTCATATTTCCTTTCCCCTCTTTCATCCTGGAAACTTTTAGAAAATAGAAGTGAGAATAAAGTTAAAAAAATTGTTTTGATTGTTGTTATTGTTACAAGTCTAATGGAGAATCTTTCAGTATAGCTGTGGTAAGATGTTTATCTTAAAAAAACCCTTATATTGTTTACTACATGGTATTATTTATTCATATCTATCAGTGTGTACAATTATTATCTTTTTAATTTACATTTATCTATAGTGTGTGTGTGTGTGTGTGTGTGTGTGTGTGTGTCATGGCACTCATGGAGAACCAAGGACAGCTTGTGGGAGTGGGTTCTTTCTTTCCATCACGTGGGTTCTGGAACAAACTCCCAGAGTTCATCTGTGAAGCCAGCAACTTTGCTCACTCAGCCTTTTAACTACTATAAATATTTATGTAATTTTTAATGGCAATTATGTTATATAATTACATTCCATATATACTTTGTTCAATATAAATACCAGTTATTCACGTGCATATTTTAGTTGTTTAACATTTTATTTTGATGATACATTTTAAGCATTTCCAAAGGGTTTTAATTACAGCAATGAGACATTGAAAAGATGCTCAATGATAGCTTCTTGAACTATGGCCAGGAGATTATTTATTTCCATCTATATTACCCAAAGTTCCAACACCTTTGCACAAGTCCACCTGAAACATGAGTTTGAAGTGGGAGCCTGATGAGGTCTGATGCCTCTGGAAAACAATTGTCAGAGTAATAGAACGTTATGCAACAGGACATATATACCATATGGGGCCATTGTTGGTGAATAACTTGAAAACAATGTTATATGGTTGTGCAAAGATCATCAGATCCTGAGCTATGAAAGCGCTTTCCCTCTCTCTCCATGCAAGGTGCCCGTGTCGGTGGCCATGATGACTCCCCAAGTGATCACCCCTCAGCAGATGCAGCAGATACTTCAGCAACAGGTCCTGTCTCCTCAGCAGCTCCAGGCTCTCCTCCAGCAGCAGCAGGCCGTGATGTTGCAACAGGTAATGTGGGTTACCTGCTTTGGTGATCTGGTCCTGCTCAAGGGGTACACATTCTGCAGGCAATATTGGCTAGTGCGGTCTCCACTTACAGAAGCAACCAATCAGCATGTTACAACAGAAGTGTCATGCTGTCCTTGCAGAGGTTCACACGAGCATTTAAGTTACTCATTCTCTTTGAATGAACTCAAGTCTAGAACAAGAGCAGAGAGAGGACAGGATTGAAAGCAGAGGAATCAGTAGTGAAATACTTGGATTCTTAGGGACACTTACTTTTAGGTTTGCAAAGGGGTATAGCAAAATACCACATAATTGTTGTTTTGAAAATCCATAACATATTAGCAATCCCTTTAGTTCCAATAAGAAGAAAAAAGGCCACTTTGCAGACAGCACCTGCTGAAAGGTAGGGCATAGCCTGTTCTTAGGTTGGGATAGGGCTTCTGATGTAGTCATTGAGAGTATTTACTTTACTTCTGGCCTTTAGAGCACATATTTTCTAGACCCTTTTGTTTAGGATTATTTGAATTCTGGATTGGAAAATTTTCAGAGCTGCTTTGAGGGGGTGGGGGGAGCATGTAAAGCTGTCTCTTTAAACCCAATGCATCTTTTTTTCCCATGAGGTGAATCTTAATGGCTACCCTACCATGTGTCAGTCTAGAAGAGTTTAGGACATTTATAATACATGAAACTTTTGCCTTTATTTATTAAAGTCAAAATGGTTTATTCAGCAACAACTACAAGAGTTTTACAAGAAACAGCAAGAGCAGTTACATCTTCAGCTTTTGCAGCAGCAGCAACAGCAGCAGCAGCAACAGCAGCAGCAGCAACAGCAGCAGCAGCAGCAGCAGCAACAGCAACAGCAGCAGCAGCAACAGCAGCAGCAGCAACAGCAGCAGCATCCTGGAAAGCAAGCAAAAGAGGTAGGATCTAGTGATTTCATTGATATATAATAGCATGGGGTTGAGAAGGCACTTTGAGAGGCAAGGATAGTCTCAGATCTTCCTATAACAAGGCTCTTTCTGTCAAAGATGCAGTGTTCTATATTTTTACTGAGCTTAATAACAGTGACAGTGAGACTCTCATGCTCTCCTTTTTTGTAGCATGGGACTTGAGAGTCACAATCCATTGCTGGCTGTCGTCTAATGTTCACTAATGAATCACAGTGTACAAAGAGCAAGCTGTGTGCTGGACAAAGTACTGATTATCCTGTATTCACTGAGAATCCAAGTTGGTGAGGGAACCTTATTTTTTTCAGTCGTACAGCTCAGAGAACACGCATGCAAATTTAGCCCATTGTTGGGGGCAGGGAGACTAAGAGGAAAAACTGGTTGAGCACAGATTTCAAAGTCACAGGCCCCTGATTAATGAACTGCTAGGGTAGGTTTGGAGTGGCGAGTAGAAAGTTACCGTTTGATATGCTCATAAATCAAACTGACAAGCTGGCTTCTCGGGCCTAGCTTGCGCTTGTCAGCAAACTGCATCACATATAAACATAATACAAACAAAACATGTTGAAGTAGTTAAATTGATCAGCAGGTATCAGGGTTGCTGTCTTCAAGCTGCCCATTATGCAAACGTACAGGAAACAGTTTTGACCTCCTGAGGTTTTGTTTCTGTTTGGATTTGTGAATAGAATTTCAGACAGCCATCAACTACAGAATAGAAATTGCTCCCTTATTTCTCAGAGGCTTTGGGCAATCCACATGACTTGCTCCATTATGCAGTCTGTTTTCCAGTGAGCGCATCAGAAGTTTCTCTTTTCCCCAAACTAAAAAGGAAAGGTCTTCAACGCAGCTTGTCTTCCTCTGAAGTGTGCCTGCCGTCTCCTTCCCCCCAGAGTCCAAAGAACTCTGGTTTGTCTTGTAATGCCTCACAAAACTGGAAGTTAGACTTTTCTTTATAATGAGGGCACTTTTTCTTTGGACATGCATATAATTCCACCTTTAGTGTGTTCAAAAATGGAAACAGGGGAGAGTTGATGCGCCTGTCCTGAGAGCTCCAGCCAAGTTTACTCTGACAAATCACTAGCGAACATATTCATAGACCTCCACATGTAAAACTTACCCAGTTGGAAAACAGTGAGCGGGTTCCGGAAGTTGATCACTTCTATGACGCTTTAATCCTATGGTCTACATAAATTTACAGTCGCTGGTGATGAACTAGTTTCTAAAAGCTGAACTTTTGTTAGATTCTGTCTTTAAACCTTGCTTGCTACCATTAGTGAGAGTTCCTGGGTTCTCAGATGCTGTTTCCCTTCCAAGAAGCAGGCAGATGAATACCTAGAGGCTGTTCTTGTTCTGCTTCTGAACTTTGACCATGGAATGATCAAGAGCACATCTGGGCAGGGAAAGGGGCATGCCTTTCTGTGTGTGAAAGTGGTCTGTGTGCACCTTGTTGTCTGCTGTTGACTGGGTCGGGTTTTCTGACACCCACAGCAACAGCAGCAGCAGCAGCAGCAGCAGCAGTTGGCCGCCCAGCAGCTTGTCTTCCAGCAGCAGCTTCTCCAAATGCAGCAACTACAGCAGCAGCAACATCTACTCAGCCTTCAGCGTCAGGGCCTCATCTCCATCCCACCCGGCCAAGCAGCCCTTCCTGTCCAGTCGCTGCCTCAAGGTAGAGAGGATGTGCTACAAATACTTCTTCTCTGCTCTTGCACTTTCTACCATCTCATGCTCTTGTGGATATATCATGCCTTGAGGTGTTTTCATTAATGACCTTCAAGTTGATAGGAAAACATTAATGCTACCGTTGGTCACCCGACCCACTGTCTATAGTTTCAGATACTCTACCACACATTACTTTCAGATTTATAGTAAACCTATCTTAACTATTTTGTTAAATATTAAATGTATGCCAATTAGTCTTATAGGTGTGAATAATGTATAAGGCAATATAATTTGAGCATCACTGAATATACAGGAGAAAGGCTAAGCAAGAGCAGCAGTACTCCATATAAGGTGAGCTGATAATGAGTTTGGGTGGACAACTGATGAAATCACAGATTTCTAATCTAGGAACTAAAATCACAAATAATACACAAGTTCTGTGCATCTGCAGATCAATTGTAAGCCCTGTGATTGGGAAGCCCACCTTTTGTCATGAGATTACACTACTAACCTTTCCCCAAATTTCCTGTACATACAATGTAAACTAGAATTTTAAGTGCTGTTGACCATATTATATATATTGTATGGTCTCTCTCTGTGTGTGTATGTACATTTTATGTATATATGAATGAAAGATCTGAGTGTGTTCTAATATAGTTATATGTATGCATTGTTATCAGTTGTGGGGAAAAAGAAATTTAAGGAAGATAGAAAAAAGGTGGCTCAAGCTGCCAATTAAGGTAAAAGTCAAGTATCATTAATCTTTATGAATGGATATTCTAATTTGCATTTGGATTGTGAGGTGACAAAGTTCATTTATACAAGTAGACTTTAACTCAAGGTCATCGTTTCTGTCCCAGAGGAGTGTATCACACACTAGTATTTGCCACACAGTTTACTGATTCTGTAAGACACATTCCTGAAAAGCAAGAACAATTTAACATAAAAAGTGAAGTTAGATCAACAATAGCTAATATTTACATTGCACATGAACATTTCTTAATGGCCAATAAAATTAATAATATAATATTATATATTATTATATTATATTATAATAATATTATAATGCACCTTTTCTTTTATTTATAAAGTTGCTTTTCCTTTGTCATAGCTTCCCCCAGGTTTGTCTCTTTCATTTAACTGAGGTCTTTTAATTCACTTGTCTGGAGCATTCCTCAGAAAGACAGAAAAGCAAAGTTTGCTTATTGAAAGCAAGCCTGGACATAGACCCACTTTTCATACTTATTTTAGAAAGAAATGGAATGATCTTCAGTATCATTTTAGAAATGAACTTTCCATCTATTAAGTGTGGTTCTTTAGAAAAGTACGTATGCTCAGAAGAAAAATGAAGAAGTAAAATTTACAAAGGATATTTATAAATTGATTCAATGCAAGTGTGGACATTATTGATAAAAAAACCTGTTGATAGGAACAGAAAGAGAAAAAATAATTACATCTCATTGGTATTTCTAGTACAAGTTAAACAAATCTCCATTGCGTATCTTCTGAAAAGTATATCACAATTTAGCATAATTTTATTGTAGCAATGTCTTTCAATTTGTTTTAGAAAGCTTAAATCTCTTATTTAAAATAATTTTTCAACTGCATCTTTCAACTCAAGCAAAAGTCTCATCGAGTAAAGTGCCTTATTATTGTGTAACAATTTCAGTCATTTTCAAATGAAAATTTCTCTTATTTCTGAGCTAGTTTTGGATAGAATTATATTTCACTGTTTTTTCAACTTTAATTGTCCCAAGACATATAAAAACTAAAACACTCATAATGAAGAAATTTTTGGAAAATAAAGACTCTAAATGCAAAGCTTAGTTTGTGCAGATTTACTTGTAAAGTTATTTTTTTTTTTTGAGACATGGTCTCACTGTGCAGCGCATGGTGGCCTGAAATTCACTATGTAACACTTAACTGGCCTTGAACTCATGAGAAATTCTTCTGGCTCAGCCCTGAAAGGCTCGAGTTACAAGCCTAAGCAACAACATCTGCCTAGAAAATTTATACTTAAGAAAAATATCATAGTGTCACTAAAGTATTTTTCCATTAATAAAGGAGAAATAATAAAATTGAACAATAGTAAACTCAAATCTCAATGGTCTCTGTGGCTACTGCTCTTGATGCTACCAGATCATGAACAAATCTCCAACCCTCATCATACATTTCTTAATTATTAAATGTGCAAAGTATCATTTCTGAGATCCATAGTTCACACATAGGCTGAATTTGTTTAATACCAACCATCCATGAAAATGAACACTCCACTTTCCCAAACTCTAGGTCCCGTAACCTAGCATTCTACATCCATGGATTAAACCAACAACGAATCAAATGTATTGGGGAAAAAAATGGCTTGTGCTGAGAACGTACTTCTTTCTCACCATTTTCTCCTGGAAATACAGTTTAACAACTATTTGTATAGCATTAACATGACATTAAATATTACACTCAAGGATGTATTTAATATATTTTCTATCTATATAATATACATACATATAGATCTATATATCACTTATAGATATATCTATACATAGATACATAGATGTAAGTATATATATACACCCAAATTTGTCACGCTGGAGTTATAGATCAAGAGGTAGAGATGAAGATAAAGATAAAGAGATGAAGATAAAGAGATAGAGATATGAGAGCAAGAGATAGAGAGATGGAAAGAGAGAGACATAGACATAAACATATAGAACTATAACTAGACATAGAGAAAGATGGAAAAAGAAAGACATAGACATAAACATATGGAGAGAACTATAACTTCATCATGACAGATTTTGGTGTTTTCAGGGCATATATTCTGAGGGACAACTATAATATCATATCACTATGATGATAATCTAAAATCAGAGAAATTAATGAATAATATAGGCCCCAAGCCATCTATCTCAGCTGCTTTTTATTTAAGGTAAAATAATTTTGAATTCTTTCATTATCAGTTTTTAAGTTCACCTTCATTGAGCTTTTGATTTATTGATTGATTGGCCATGAATAATAATCACATGAAAATCAAATGGGATTACCATACATTGATGGATGATGTTCTCATTATGTCTTCAAAAATATGACATAATTTATTTATCTCTATGATTTAACACAACTTCATCCAGCCACCTTGAATTATAATTTCTGAAACTATTTAAATGTATATAAATATCAGCAATAACACTTTATAACTTTGACAGAATAGATTTGTAGGACTTTTTCTCTAAAGTTGAACAATATATTTCATCACTTTAACATGAACTCTTTTAAATTTTAATTAATCATTTAAGTCATTAATATTTTCATACTCCTGGATTTATAAAATAGATACTAAATGAATACATTTATTACATAATATATTTAATTATTGACATATAATATATTTAATTGTTAAATATTAATATATTTAACAATATTATATATATATATGTATATATATATATATACATATATATATATATATATATATATATATGTATATATATATATACATATATATATATATTGATGCCATGGCCTACCCATTACCAAGATGAAATTATTCAGTGTGCAGTTACTTTATTGTTGTTGTTGTTGTTGTTTTGTTGTGGTTGTTATTGTTGTTATTGTTTTTCAAGGAAGGATTTCTCTGTGTAAGAGCAACCCTCTCTATCCTGGAACTCACTATGTTAACCAGGCTGACCTCAAACTCAGAGATCTGCCTGCCTCTGGCCTCTTATGTGCTGGGATTAAGGTGTGTACCATCAGCACCTGGATTACATTATATTTTTATAGTTTTTTAACATAAGATAAATTTTACTTTCAGAATACAATCATAGGTTGATTATGACTTTATTGAAAATTTAGTTTTCGTTGCTTTTAGTTACTTGAAGTTAACTGTATCCCCTCCTCCTTCCAGAAGAATAGAGAACTCCAAAAAGAATGAATGGATTTTAAAGTGTTTGGCATCTGAAGAAGTATGATGAATTTCACAGCATACCCTTTCCCCTTACTGTGATGTGAACCAAATCTCTGTCAAGGATACCTACATAGTGTTCATGCTGTGTACACACTCCATTTCCCATTCACTTAAGCTTCTTCAGTATTAGTTCTGTTATTGTGGGATCCTGGGACTTGTGTTCTCTACACCCTTGTTTTGATTATTGATGACCTTAGAACAAAGGAGAAGTGACACTGGTGATTCAGATATGGCAAGGAGAAGTTGCAAATTGTCTCCTATAAGTGAAAAAACTGGAACTTAATCTTGCATCATGACACCTACCTTTAATCCCAGTACTCAGGAGGCAGAAGCAGGTCGATCTCTCTGAGTCTGAGACCAGCCTGGTCTAGAAAGCATATCCCAGGACAGCCAAGGCAGTTTCATAAAGAAAACCTGTCTTTAAAAAACAAACAAACAAACAAACAAATAAAAAACCCAGCCAAACAAACAAAAGCAAAGCTAAAACTTTTCCTAATAAGTGATCAAACACATATTGTAAAGTTGCTGAGATTTAATATGAAAATGAATTTTCTATCTGTGAAACTCTGGTAGGTAATTTTCCTATCACAGCTCTCAGTGCAAAACACACAACAGTCATGAGTGATAAGTGCACAGATAGGGTGGGAAAAAGATGAAATCTAAGTTTTGTTACTATCCACAGTTTCAAACATGCAGGGGTCTTGAAGCGTATTACAGGTTATGGAATATGTGGTGTGAAACTTTTATCTCACTACATTGCACATATTTTGTAAATATCTGAGTTATTTAAAATGTAAAATTTCAATTAACAACCGATACATGCTAGGTTGTAGACAGCTCTGTTTTGATTTCATACCTGCTAGAACTAGGTGAGATGGGAATACGTGAGCTGTCAGATAACAAAGAATATGAAATCTTTAATAACGACTTTATGCTGAGTTAGGAATGTGCTCCAGATAGTACTTGGCTCGGCTGTCACCCAAAGTCAGCCATTTGACCTGCATACCTCCCTGCTCCTCGTATCCTGGATCTTTTGCTTAGTCAGT